TTGAGCTGGAAAGTTTAACTTTGCAATGAATCAAATCCTTTTACGGATTTTCCTGTCAAAGCCAGACAAAACTAAACACTAATAGTTGCCTTTGAAAAACAGAATGCCGTCTTCCGTTGGGGGAAACCAGCCTGTCGATGACTGTGAGCTTCAGCGTCATACAGTGTCACAGGTACAAGCATGAGGGGGAAATGGCCCAGCACGAGCCACGTAATGGAAGAGCGAGCCAGACCTGTGTACAGTCTGTTTTTCCAACATGCCATTACTTTATTCCAGCACTCCAAAGACACACAGTCAGGCTGATTGCTGTCTCTGCCCTAAGTGCACGTGCCCCGCATTTGTAACAGCAAAACAACATCCCAAGGACAATTCACATGTGATCTGTAGTGTTTTAACAACGCAGTTTCAGTTCAGTGTTGCACTGAAGCTACTGATAAAAGACACGAGACCTGTGCTGCAAGGTGACCCTGACCAGGAAAAGTATTGGAAAATGGGTGGGTGGGTGGATGGATTGTTGTCCAGGCCAATGGGTTAACAAAGAAAGTTGAGTCTGTTAGTTTCCTTCTTTGTGCTCGTTTCTGCAGAAAAAGGGCCTTGATATCATCAGAGCCAATTAATTTCACTTTGCTTTTCACGTTACCAGGCAACACAACAGACCAGACAAGTAGGTCTTTATTCTAGTCCTCATCACAAGCCGCCCTCAAATCCATCCCAGCTCCTAAATTGCAGCTTTAAAACGTGAAATTTACATCAATATAGCAGCAAATTTGAAGCACATGTAGAATTTATTCAATGTTTTTAATCACCCCATGTTTAAAGCGCAGATGTCGACATTAACGCCATCTCTGATGATATCAGTCTGCCGTCGTTCAGTAAGATAATTACAATCATCAAGTCCTCAGGGCAGGAGCACATAAGTGACTATTTAAATCTGAAAAAAGACACCTGTATTTCACTCGAAATTTATTAGTTTTATTTTAATACCAGATTGCTCTACTTGGCACAGTGACATTCTTTGTTTTTACTTTGTTCAGAACAATGTTTCCATTCCACATTAATATAACTACTTGTCCAGGACGGTGTCATGGTGAGTCCAGAGCCCAGCCCAAGCAGCCCTGAGCATTGGCATCACAGGACAAAGGGAAACACTGGGTGGGATGCCAGTCCATCACAGGGCACAGGGCAGGGGACACCCTGGACAGGATGCCAGTCCATCACAGGGCAGGAGAGATTCAATCCTGAGAAGAACAGGGGTTACACTGCTACGAGTTATGCCCTATCTCTGTCTGGCCAGCAGATGTCACTGCTGTGCCCTTTCATTGGTGTCTACCCAAACTGTTTTCAATCCATTGTTAAGTGTTTATTGTTATGGCCAACCTGCCATAGGTTTGGGTGACTGGGTCACCAGATGGATCGTGGCGTGTCATTCATCCATACTGGCTTATATGCAGTAACGCTATCTGCATCCAAACGGGTGGACTTGATGGTCAGGTTCAGCCTTTGTCCTGTTACGCAGTGGGCAGAATTGATGGTCAGGTTCAGCATTTGTCCTGTTACCCAGTGGGCAGAATTGATGGTCAGGCTCAGCATTTGTCCTGTTACCCAGTGGGCAGACTTGATGGTCAGGTTCAGCCTTTGTCCTGTTACGCAGTGGGCAGAATTGATGGTCAGGTTCAGCATTTGTCCTGTTACCCAGTGGGCAGACTTGATGGTCAGGCTCAGCATTTGTCCTGTTACCCAGTGGGCAGAATTGATGGTCAGGCTCAGCATTTGTCCTGTTACCCAGTGGCCATCTGCCTGTTCAGGACCCCCAATCTCCACCAATTTGATAACTCAAAGGCAAAATGCCAGCTAATGTCTAAAATGTGCCCATTGATCCCAGCATCTTCCCATTACGTCACTTCACAGATACAGACTGTGCTATTTGGATACTTATTCCTTTATAAATCACCATCACGCGGGTGCAAACAGAGATGTGTATGGACTGCACATTTATATGTAGGGCTACGTAACCCATACAGAGCAGGGCTCGATGCCCTGTCTGTGACACATTACTCCTGTCATCATCACCAAAACTATCTACCATCTGCACCACAGCAGCACTTCCATTGGATTGCACCACACAATATAGCCTTTATTCACATCTCACACGACGAGTCTTGGTCACCCAACACCCTGTCAGTGAACCGTGGTTTTTCCCTCCTTGGACCGCTGCCGATTGATACCCCACAAGCTTTAATGTTTTGAATTTCCTTATGTTCTTATATTTGAAAGAGCACTGCTTTACACAGCGTGTAGTTTGAGTATGTAATAGTCTTCCTGTTAGTGTAGTGCAAGCTAACACCCTGGGTTCCTTTAAATCAGAGCAACTCTGAGCTATTAGTTGAGTTCTCCCCAAACGAGCTTGATGGGCGGAATGGCCTCCTCTCGTTTGTAAATTTCTTATGTTCTTATATTTGGGATCAGCTCTAACCATGACCATAATTATTTGGCCCTTGGCACTCAGATACTTACCCAGTGAACATGTCAACTCTGAGTATTAAATTTAAGTCAAAACGGGAATAAAAACAGGGACTGTCCTTGGGAGACTCTTCTGCATCAGGAATCTGGAGTCAGTCGAGAGCAGCAGATAGAGTGACTTGTGTCATGTAAATATGATGCTAGATCTATCCTGTTTGCTTAACCTTCCCCACTACAGACTGAGCCGCATGCATTCAAGACAACAAACTGAATTATAAATGCCCTGGTCTTTCATTCCCACACTGTAAAGGCACCCCCCCCTCCCAAGCAAGTCCTTTGTGACAAAACGAGCACTATTCAGAAGCAAATTGCTCATGGTCCAAAGCATTAATGATGAACATGTGCTTCAGTATCAATCTAAACACGAATGTCTTCTTTTTAATGGGCGAAATCAGCAAATCAGTAGCGCTTCACTCTAAATAGCTGTCATTCCAAGCTTGCAAACTTGGAAATCAAGTCATAAAGCGAAAGCTGTGAGCACACTAATCTGTTCACTTACTCTTTGACTGATGGAATGAATGAATTTAATCAGCTCTGTGAAAAACACTGAATAAACCGTTAATACTACTCAAATGTTATTGGTTCCATTTGAGCTGAAGTATGAATGAATTGGAGCTTATTTGATGAATAGAACAGGATGTACAGAGAAGTGTGAATCTACAAAAAGCGGCACAGTGACACACTGCTGCTGGACAGTCAGGTTCATGCACGTAAATCTGATGCAAGTTTGAAGACCAACAGCTCCAGGACGATCAAGAAACACCAACAATAAGACAGCCGAGAGCAGTGTGGAGCTCAGCAGGTCAAGCTCTGCGCCTGTGATGAGAAGGTCACCGGTTTGAGCAGAGTATGACGTTTCCTCTGGGCCCTTAAGAGCAAGACCATCAGCCCCTGAAAAATGCTCTGGGCTGCTGGATGGACGGCGAGCCTGTGCTCAGACCCCAAGCTTGTGTGTGTGTGTGCCTTAAAAATGAGGAATAAGATAGGATATGTGAAAACGAACACATTTCAATGCACCTGTAACTCAGATTTGTGCAAATAATGCATTATTTCATTTGCTTAATTCAATTTAGTAATTTCTGACATAATGTGCTTGTAACCAGCAACCTTCATGCTTTTTCTAAACATCTTCTAGCCCTATGAGAAGCACTGCAGATTGTGAAGACAGTGAGCAAACGCTGCATGGATATCACTGAGCCCAGAAGGTAAGATACGACAGATAAAATAAGATGAACTTTATTGATCCCAGAGGGGGAATTCTGGCAAATACAGAAGCAAGGTGTTTAAAGTGCAGAAAAACAAACATATAGGGCAAAATAAGGCAGAGTGCAAAGACACAAAGAAAATATAGTGCAGACAAGTAAACACAGCTCTAACAAATGGAAAGGTACACAGTGCATAGACAGAACATCCTGAAAAAGTCTGGTGTTATCAGCTTGAAAACTGAGGGTGCAAACTTTCGACATTCGTCTGGGAACCACTGAAGGTCACACGTGGGTGATGCGAGTTCTCCCCATACTGGGTATCTGTCGTACCTTCATCATCGCCTAGGTCCGAAAGAGCACTTTATCTCTGACTAATAATGTAGTAAAAGTCACGTGGCGCCACTCCTACACTGCAGATTTGCATGCTATGCTTAGGTATCTGCAATAAATGCACGCAGTGTATATCAAGTTAACTCAGCGCAAGCTGACGCATCAGTTACAGCCCCGATGCAGCCACGCCAGGTGTGTGCTGAACATCTGGCGGATGCAAGCAAAATGCCACACAGCTGGTGATGCAACATCACCTTGCAAAGCCACTGGGCTGCGGGCGAAATGCAAGTCGGCGTCACGCAGACGCAGTCCTGGCAACCGAAGAAGAGAACACAGCCAGTAGCTGAGCCTGTCCCATGGATTTACGGAATGTCTAATGTACAAAAAAAACATCATTTCCATAGCTAACAACCAGTATCCAATGTGCATTAATGGTCCAATAACTTTTAAACTTCACATTTACTTCTAATTCATAGCAAAAAACAAAATCCAACTTGAATATTCATCACCAGTTACGTAGCACTATACACCTAATAACTGACAAAAATCGAAGTGCTATCTGAAGAGTAAATTAAAGTTTATAACTCATCTACCAAAGTCTGCGTTAAGGCTAGACCACTACACCAATGAGCAGGGAGTCACAGCCGTTGGGCGGCACACTGAACTCTGGGGGCCAGCAGATCACTTTGAGGATTAATGCACCTCCGTGCCTAACTTAGCATTTCACATTCACATCAATGCATTTAGTTTATAAAAACACATCAGATGCACATTTATGCTACTGCACTAACTCTGAAATGACACTAGTATCTTTTATCACCGGTTAGTCATTTTGCAAAACGTAATACTTCTATAAAACACCCTCCACTTACTCTTCACAGTTTTAACAGCTATCCAGTATATATTCCATTTTATATTTCATGAGACTTTAACAGTTTTACCCACCTGATAGAGTGACAGAAAACCAAACGCGTTAGATGTTCTGGTGGTTTCTTTATTTGCTTTGCCCTTTGACCTTTGCCTGAACCATCGGCTTCCCTATCAATGCTGGCACTGCGCCCTCTGTAGGACGGAGACAAATCACATGTAATTAGCTCAAATCTCATTGAAATGAGTATTACTTTGTTGTAGAAGCAGTTTGGAATACATAATTAAAAAATTTAATTAGACGCAAGTTTCTTTTTGACCCTTCATATCTTTATATTTTCTTTATATATGTAACTGTTTTTAAGTACAATTAACTTGCGTCTGCTAAACAACATTTGACTTGTTATCGATTACTTGTTCCCTCAGTAGTTCCCTCAGTAGTTCCCTCAGTAGTTCCTTCAGTAGTTCCTTCAGTAGTTCCCTCAGTAGTTCCCTCAGTAGTTCCCTCAAGAGTTCCTTCAGTAGTTCCCTCAGTAGTTCCCTCAGTAGTTCCCTCAGTAGTTCCTTCAGTAGTTCCTTCAGTAGTTCCCTCAGTAGTTCCCTCAGTAGTTCCCTCAGTAGTTCCTTCAGTAGTTCCCTCAGTAGTCCACAAAGGATTACAAAATTCACAGATACAGTAACAAATATAGTAACTGCTTGGAATGAAAGACGCATCATGATTAACAAACAAGAGATTAGTGTGTTATTCATGACTTGTTCCTTCAGTAGTTCCTTCAGTAGTTCACAAAGGTTTACAGAATTAATAGGTAGAGCATCACACTTTACTTGGGGGGACATTTACTTAGTTAATGGTTAATTAATGCACTAAGTGTTAGTTATTTTCTGATCCTATGTTCATTCATCATTAATCAGTCACGACGGTTCATGTATTCCACTCAGGAACTATATTAGTTAACTGTTCACCAGACAAAGCGGAAGCATCCGGAAAGCTGTGCTCAAGCAGGTCTGCGCAAAGGATCGCATCATTCTCTCGAGGAAGACGAGAGCCCACCCATTAGAGCACGGCACTGACATCATTCTCACTTATGGCGGCAGGGAAGAACAGAGTGACAATAATTATTGTAAAGCCTAATGATGATTCATGATGGGGGGAGGCTTCATTAGAGCAGGAATGGCCGGGCTGGCCAGCAGAGGGCGAGACGCACATAACCATGATTCACTCTGGTGATTTCAGACTGATTCCTGGCATAACACAGGAGAAGCATGAATCACTGGCCAGTGATGAGCCACATACACGCGCACATGCTGTTTATCATAATCAAATCAACCAGTCCGGCGCCACGGAGGAGCTTAGCAAACGCTTAGCCTTCGAGCCGGACGAGTGATCAAACCTTTTCCACAGTGTTCCACGTGTCATGGCGACGGCAGGCAGGGCCCAAGAGCTCATTCACTGGGGGAGGTGATTCTCCAATGCTGACCAAATCTTGATATTCCAAAGGTCTGTTTTAGCCAGAAGCGATCTGGGTACTCAGCAGAACAGCAGAAGCTCACCAATCAGACAGGAACAATACAAGCCATTCAGATTTGGTGGGAAACCTCACTCAGGGCTATATGTGTGGACGTGCCCAGTGAAGATCGAGACAAACAGCCCAGTTCCTGGTATCATGACAGGGTGCTACATCACCTGGCGGCCAGTGCATTGTGGGAGAAGGAAGGCAGTAAAATATCAGCAATGATACTCACAGACAGGAAGAGGAGAACATCCTGAAATGACCAGCAGAAACTGAGGGTGGGGGATGGAGGAGACAGGCTGTAGGACCATGGGGGCACAAGCAGACCTGAGAGCTGGAGTAACATATTAAACTGGGGCACTTTAATAAGGAAATTATTTTGTCCTAAATTCTGAAGTCCATTTACCAGCCTTGAAAGCCAGTTACCACAACAGTAAATTAATCTAATAACAATTTTCCAAGTAAATTAATTTTAATATTTGAATTATTGTTGCCACTTAAAATTTGATTGGATTTATTGATGGAGTGTAAGTGATATAGTGTGAAGTGCAAAAGTATCCATTAAACGTTTATGTAATTTGTAATAATTTACTCTGAATATTTATGAGATTGGTGATTCTCTACATCCATCTATCCATCCATTTTCTGCACCCACTTTTCCTGGTCAAGTCAAGGGGATCCAGAGCCTCTCCCAAAAAATTTTTTGTGAGTGACAATCCACTGTGATGCTGTACTTGGGAGGGCTGGCGGGGGGGGCTGAGCTGTGGAGTCGGGCCGCCTGCATAGACAGACAATCACGGTGTGCCTCAACACTGATAAAAAGCCTCTTTAATTCCCTACCTTTTCAGGAGATTTATTTTAATGAAAACTGCACCAGAAAAATCATTCAAGCATTTGTCAGTGTAATTTTACAACACAATGACATGAATAAAAATGAGCTTATGATTTCCAACTGCCGACAGCCTCAAAATTAAATACATTTGTAAAATGCTACTTTATAGAAAATATTTCTCTTTGTGCCACACAATAATCTTTAATGCTATGGGAAATGAAATGCTCAGAGGGATCACCATTTCTGGAAAAACAGGAATGGGACTCTTTTTACAAGCTGTCTAATGAAAAGTCTTATACGATTGCCGGTAAACTGAATGTAAAACTAAGGCAGTTACATCTAGACCAGGGAAGGCCAATCTTATCCAGAAAGGGCTGTCGTGTAAGCGGGTTTTCACTGCAACTCCCTAATTAGATTACTAATTAGGACTGATTGGCTGAAGAGTTCTCACATCTGAGTTTGAACAGCTGACCTAAAGGTTATCCCAAAATCCTGCATACACACCGGCCCTTTGCAGATAAGATTGGCCACCCCTGATCTAGGCATTTAGCTGATTTCTCATTAGAGAGTGTACCAGAGTGCCACATTCTCATTGCACCTACAGGTGGCACTGTGTTACAGACAGCACAATCACCAGGCCAGAAACACTGCTCCTTAATGTTCCTCCACATCATAAGCTCTCCCATCAGCATGTGGAAAGTTTTCCATCTTCAAGGACAATATATGGGTACAGTTACATTGGAATGTGTTTATTTTCACATATCCCACCATCATCTCCCTTTCAAGACACACACACAAATGAGGAGATGGTCTGGAGTCTGAGCACAGGCTCAGCTGTCCATCCAGCACCCCAGAGCTTTTTATTTGTGGGGAGGGTCTTAAAGGCCTTGCTTGAGAGCCCAACACAGATGTGACTATTCTGCTGGACACAGGATTCAAACCAGCGACCTTCTGATTACAGGCACAGAGCCCCGACCCACTGAGCCATAAAACTAGACATCCAGAGCGTGATGAAGCCCCTGGCTTCAAATCCCCTCCGTGCTTCTTGGTCATGTGACTGTCAGTTCAGAGAGCTACGAACAGGCGGGACAGAGTAAGCTCCTCATTGGAGTATTTCCAAGCAGGAAGTGTCATTCAGTCTGACAGTCTTAAATGTTTTTTTTTTTTTTTACATAGTATAAAAAATGTCATCTTAACATTTACTGCAGTGTCTTAACAGGCAGTCTCTGCCTAATACATCAAAAAGAATGGCAAACTAGACAGATCTATTTCATTACAGTTTGATGACACAGCACTCACTAAAAATGTTTGAAACTTAAGGATGAAAGCGGCCTTCTCAGATTTCAGAAGTTCTCTGGGGTCCCAGTCAGGCTCTGGCCTGGAGGTTTGCCCTGCTGCAGTAGGTCTCAAACAAGCAAGTACCACTTTGGAAAAAAATCAAAACAGCCATGTTCCACCTGGGTGTAGAAATCATAGTAACCATGAATGTACATGTGTGTACTAACACTCACTCACACTCTCACTCACACACACACACACACACACACACACTCACTCACTCACTCACTCACACACTCACACACACACACAAGTTGTGATGAGTATACCTAGCCTGCTCAAAACTCCACAATACTCCACTCAGGCAATTCCTCAGCCTTACTCTGTGCTAAAAGCTTACTGCACTCATCCCTGATATCTCAAAGGCAAGCCAAGCAAGCTCACCCCCTCACAGACACGACAAATGCTGTTCTGTCTCTCTGCACGTGTGTCTACGTGTGTCTGTCTGTGCACATCTTTGCACGTGTGCGTGTTTCTGTCTGTCTGTGCACGTCTTTGCACGTGTTTCTGTGTGTTTGTGTGTGTGTGTGTGTGTGTGTGTGTGTGTATATTAGGTTTATATTACATTGAGGGGACCAAGTGGCAAAGTTTTTTGAATGCAATCAATTAAAAATCCCAAACATTTCATATTTTGCTTACTTATAAGTAAGGTCTGGGCTGTGTAGGGTTCAAGGTTATCATGTTGTGATTAGAGTTTTCCCCATAGAAATGGAGAGTCCCCACAAAGATATAATTACAAACCGGTGTGTGTGTCTGAAAAAATGAACACATTCCAATGTACCTGTACTGATAGACGACATATGGCAAATACAGCATCATTCATCACAAACTTCAGGAAGTAGTGTAACCATTGCAAGTTTTGTGGTTTCTGGGACAGATATGTTTTCCTGTTTATTTTCAAGTGATTAGCTTCAAATACAGGACCCAGTGAGGCCACATGACACTATGATGACACGCTGCCCCCTAGGCATCGTCACCAGGGACCCATTACAGTCAGCCTTATCTCTCCCGACTCGCTCGCTGGAGACTTTTCTCAGCTGAGGGGGGCTCTGTGCCGCATGGCAGCCGCGTGACCAGCGATCAAAAGCAGAGAGGATGCTCTCATTTATCTCATTGGATTTAGGCTACCTCGGGAAATTCAGACATTAATGCATGACTAGTATTTACAGCACTGTCTCCAGCCAGCCACTAAAATGCTCACTGTTAACACTCACAGAAGTATGATCATGGTAGCACGCTCATGGTAACACATTCACAGTAACACTCTCTGTAACACTCACAGAAGTATGATCATGGTAGCACGCTCATGGTAACACATTCACAGTAACACTCTCTGTAACACTCACAGAAGTATGATCATGGTAACACGCTCATGGTAACACATTCACAGTAACACTCTCTG